TTTATTCAGTCTCAAACCCTGGTAGTGGAGTATAATAAAATATGAAATCCCTGTGCAAATTTCTACAAAAATTAAATTCTTTCTTTGTAAAAGCAATCGTTGTTGGCATAAATAAATAATTGAAATGATTGTAGTAGTAACAATATTACAAACTCAGATTTATGAATATTACAAACTCAGATTTATGATTCTCAAATTTGGCTTGATTTTGAATTTTACAGATTCTCCGAGTCTGATGGATTTTTCAATTGCAGTGCAGAATGGAAAGATTCTCCTGTCCATGACAACCTCAATTTCAGAACCTTATTTGATGAAGAAATGTGACAATTATTGCTTGGGTAAAGACAATGCAGAACTAGTGCAATAATATGAAGCATACATGAACATAAAGTGATTCAACAACCCCTCATTAATTGGCAGAAAACTTTGGTTGTATTAGAGCTGTTGAACAGGGCTATAAAACGCACATAAAATAGTATCTGAATTTAAGGGCACATTTGTACGTAAAAAAAGCTGAAACTATTGTGTGTGTGTTTTTTGACAAATTAACAGTTTAACTCCAACCTCACAGAGTGTCCACTTTTCATAAAAAAGCTCATCAAAATAGTCATTATTCACAGTATAAGTCAGAAAATGAAAAGGAAATGGAGCGAATTACATGTGCGAAATACATGCCACTGCTTTGAATTTTTTATTTCATTTTGATTTTCACAACAGATTGTTGGCATATTATCCTCATATTATCATCGTTATCTATGCGCAGCTGATTCCTCCTCAGAATCATGGATGCCACCAAGTCCGATCGGAAAAGGGTGGCCCAGGAACCGCCAGACTGGACAACCTTCCCACTGGGAGTGGGGGATTCACTTTGAATCAGTGTAAAATTGTTCAGGTTCCAAGTAGACACTTTTGAGGATTGATCAATGCGGGCATTTCCTGTGAAAGGGTCGACCCTAAATTTGCAAAATAGACACATGCGTACTTTGCACACAGCAACAACACTGAAGAAGAGTTTGAAGGAATGAAACAAGAAACTAGAGAAGCAGCTGGATCCTGTGATCATAAATGACTGTTTCTCCGGCAGCATTTGAAGTGCTGGTACTCCAGTTTTGCTATTAAGTATCCATTTGGAGAAGCTCATTTTGCAATTAGATGGGAATAACTTGGTAATTTATTGCACAGCACTTACTCTAAATCTGTCAGGGGCTGAACAAATATGCGATAACCCAAATTCCACAGTTAGATACAAGCATCATACGCCAAGTGAAGTCTTTTTGTAACCTCTTGGTTCTAACTTGTAGATTCCAAAGGCACTACGTATCTGTATTCTCCCAAAGTGTTGCATCGTAAACAAAAAAGTGCCCTTAACACTTCATAATGGGTACATGCAACTATGACTTATATAATCCGAGAAAAAAACAACCGCTCAAAAATATCCCCTAAGCCCCAGGAAACTGTTTTCCACAGTAATGGACAGATAATCCACTGTAACCCGCTTGTTTAAGCCCAACATGGATGCTCCATCAAATTCAGAAAATTACAACTGCTGAAAAGGGGGAAAAACAGCTACTAGGTGAAAATTGGAATTGCATTAATAAACGTCATTTTGCATGTGATTGAATGTCATGGAATAGCCATTCGGAACTGCACTCCCTGATGTTCCAATAGTTGGCCAATTACTCGCCGGGGGCCTCAGGTGCCCTGGGGTAGTGTTTGCAATCAGTGCCTCATTTATGTGTTGTTTTGGATTATTCAGACACTTTTTTTGTGCGAGTTTTTTTTCGCAGGATCATCTAACAACATTTCACTTGCAAATCGGCTCAACAAGATTATCCACTGACCCAGAGTATATATGCCTGGCTGTCCCTTGACATATTTTCCGACTTGTTTTTCTTTTTGCCTATGGAAAGTGAACTTTACAAAAGAATACATGAAAAAGCTCTTCCCGACTACAGTATTCTAATATATTTCATGAAACTGGGGTTTGCACTTTGCACATCTTCCATTCAACTCGTAGCCAAGATGTTAGATCTTTTCCTAGTCATAGAATATCCATCATATATACTTGCTTTTTTCAGAGATTATCTTTAGCAATCAAGGTATAGTCACGAACGAAAACTTGGAAATTGAATTGATGTTCATGTGATCCTCTTTAATTCATCCTGGTAATCGCAATGTTTAGGCATTAATATCTAATGTACATGTCAACTGAAATTCAACCACTGTACATGTAAGCTGATTTTTTTTGGCTGTGGGTGGCAACTGTCCAGAGAACATTTTATCGTTTTTTTTTCTCCCTCTTTTCATGCGAGTCCTGACATCCCGATGGAGAAAGGATGAAAAAGGATTGACAGCCTAAAGCCGAATCATGCTGCAAGAGTCAACTTTGAATCATAAACAGGGTTCTGGGGTTTGTTCCAATCTCGGCCGTTACAGAAATAAAACGACTGTTTTCAACTTTCAAGTCGGGGCAAGTTTTCAATAAAACATGTTAAAACATTATTGGATACAAAATTACCTATATGTATGACGTACTTGCGTGTACTCTGTATTTGTTCTTTATGGATCAAAATAGTACAAAGAAGCAATGTACTTCATATGAACCAAAAAAAAACAGCCATGTGTAATGTCACGTACACACTTCGAAAGTGCTCATATAATAGCCATGGAGATTGCGTCACAGATCCCTAATATATCATACAGTGCCATTACAGTAAACTACAGCCATGACCTCATACAGTTGGCACTTTGTACATGTATGATGGGTAAGTTATAGAGCGTGCAAGTTAGCCCCCCAAACAAGCCAGATTTTCAAGAATGTGTGACTTTTTGGGGTTTTATTCACAACGTAGTTTGTTTCCTGCCAATAAATTTTGCATTTTATTTAAAACATTATTGAAATATTGCGAATTGATGACCATACTGAACTTACAAATTTAAATTAACTCCTAGTCGCTGGATCATGCACATTACTATTGGGTATAACGACAACCCTGGGATTTTTGTCACTACATTAGCAAGTGTTTGGTGCCAAGATGTTCAAATAAAAATGAATGTGAACTGGTGAGACTTGCATGCTGTCTTCTAACTAGAACGGCGAAGCCGCCATGGCTCGCTGTCCAAGGCAGGAAGGGAGGCTGAAGGTAGGGTTGGGGATGGGCATGATGGAAGGGGATCAGGATTCTTGTTGATGTGCCTAGGTGTAGGGGTCAGTTTTTAAATGTCAACATAAAAAGTCAACAGATTACCTAATAAATACATGTGTATATAGGTTAGCTGTCACTGTATTATGGGGGAGTTTTCCATTGATAGGGTAATTAGGACCCAGTTGTGGATTTTTGCAGCCCTCACAGTGTCTTCTGCTCCCCATACTTGTATTACCATGGGAAAACTCTTGTGTAGTCGCCACAAATGCAGAACAAGAATGGGTATACATGTACATGTAGACACAGCACCATCACCACCTCCCCCAAACCTTACCCCATCCCAAAACCTTACCCCATCCCAAAACCTTACCCCATCCCCAACCCGCCCCCTCCCCCTCCCCCACCCAACCCCCTACCCACACCCATTCCATCCTCCCCTAATCATCCCCACCCTATCACCTACACATCCAAACCCCACCCAAACTCCAATCCCTATCTCCTTCCCCCTCCCCTGACCCGTACCCTTCCCTACCCCAACCCCCTACACCCACCTACCCTATCTTCCCCTATCTGTCCTTACCCACCCCTACATATCCCCACCCTAACCCTTACTCGAATTCCAATATCCCGCCCACCCCATTCCCCCACCCATACATCCCCACCTGACCCCATGCAACCCTACTCTGATCCCTATATACTGCCCCCTCCCCTTATCCAACCCCTACAACAACCCATCCCTACACATCCCCAACCCAACCCCTACTCCGATCATATATCCCGCCCCCTGCCCAACCCCCTCCTAACCCAACCCCTACATCCATGCCCATCCTCTCCCTACCTGTCTCTCCCTACCTGTCTCTCCCTACCTTTTGCCACCCCACCCCTACAAATCCCCACCCCACCCAAACCCAGTATTCCAACCCTCTCCCCACCCCACCCCACCCCAACCCGCCCCGCCCCACCCATCCTATAGCTCCCCTACTCATCCTACTCACACAAACCCTAACTCCAACCCTATACCCCACCCCGACCACACTCCACCATCCCCTACCCCATCCCTACTCCAACCCCATAAACTAAAAGATCAAACCAGAAGCTCATGCACATCCCCAAAATGCATAGTGTACATGTACATGTTATACCGGTATACACACATGTACATGTTATACCAGTATACATATGTACATGTAACAATTAAAAACTTTAACATTTCCTTGAATTAAAGTTCCTCAATAAAATCATAAAATTTACTGCAATGATATGAACCTAACTGAAGTTATAGGCCTAGAGATGATACCTGACAACTGCATTTAATTTTTTTCCCCAAGTTAACTAAAACCAAAAACTTTAACATTTTTATCTGAACGCGGACGGCCGGACAGACGGACGGACGGACGGACGGACGGACGGACGGACGGGCGCCCGGACAGACGGACGGAAATTGGTATTACATAGGCTCGCATCTGCTTCGCAGCTCGCCAAAAATCATGTTGGCGTGACAATTAACAATAAATTTAAACCCCCTGAATTTTTTATAAAACAAAAAACTGACTTTGATGGAAAAGGGGACTAATTACATCAGAAACACACAACCATTAAAATCATTGGCTTCTATAGGAAGTAGTATTCATGAACTTTTTCTAACAAGCTCTCACGAAGTCCTAAGCATGTATGGTTACAGCTGAGCTATGTGGTTGATCATCAGTGAAGGACAAACCCTGATATGTTGCTTAAAACTAAACACAATATCAGTTTTTCCATTGATTTCTCACTCTCTCCCTGAAGTACCAATCATGCGATAAGTTCTGATGTTTTTGTAAATTTATGAAGCGGAAGCAGCAATTTAGGACTTACCGTTGTTTTCTCTAGACAGCTGAGCAGATGGTGATGCTGAGATTCATAGGCACTGTACTTGCTGGTCAGGTCTTCAAGACTGCAACCGCTCTGGGGAAATAACGACAAAAAGAAAACTTGATAAAACGATCAGTGGAAACAAGGGGGGATTTAGGATAAAAACACTAAAATATGTCTGCACACAGTAGCCCTGAAGATGCAAAAATTAAAGTAAGTGGGAGCAGGTACCGGGTATCCGCTCCGTTCACAAGTACCCCCTCACCGGCAAAGAAAGTACAGTTGGGGGTGACCGACTGACGCCATCTTGCCTGTCTGCAATTTTGCCATGACGCGCGGCCGTACCAGTACCTCTGCGTTTGCATAATACAAATCCCCTGGTGTACATGTACGTGCATTACACACAAGGAACGTTGAGCGTCAACCAGCTAAATGTCCCGCCCATTGGACGTCGTTGCTAGGTAAAAGGGCGCCCTCTTTCGTTGGCGCACGGAACCCATAGTACCCATGATCATATCTTTCATAGGCAGCACAGGTGTAAGGTCTTGCTGAGGCAGCATTTCTACTGCATCCTCCCCTACTTTTCAGAAATGTTCAAAAACATTGGCAAAAGGATACATTTTCACCAGGGTATTGTGTATATAATTTCGGCCAACAAATCATGTACTTATACGTGTGAGTAAGTAAAAAAAAAAGTAAAGTCTGTCACGAGCCAATGTGGCCCATCAGGCCAGCATTTATCTCCGGTTTCAGTAGCATGAAACGACTGAGAATATTTCCACTCCCCCTGGATGGGATGCTAGTCCATCGCAGGTTAATGATGGAACCCACTTATACTCCTGGGTGGATAGTAACAATTGGGGGTGAAGTGGCTTGCCCAAGGACACAACATATGACCAGATGCATTCGAACCCCTGACCCTCTGATCATGAGTCACAAACCCTAACCACTAGGCCACACTCCCCACATATACGTGTGAGTAGGCCCATTCAATTTATTTTTATTTGGCGGTAATCCTTCAAGCCAATCCATTCCTAAGTCAGTTTGGATTATCGGTCCGGCTATCTGAAAATTCACCTGATTATCAGCGGCAGATACTCAATTAAAGCAAATCAGCCACCCAGCTGTCTCTGTAATGAACACAGCACGCCATCCGGCCTGGCTAAGATATACTTGATTAATTAATAATGCTGGTAGAGTAGCAGTACATGTTTCATTTGAAATCACATGTACTTTTTGTACCGGTACATACCGTACATGTACACAAAAAGAGCTGTTTAAATCCAGTAGTCCACTACTGAACCCATCCACATAGGGACGGAAATTGGACATGGCTGAAAAGTGGTAAAATTATGAAATCTTCAGAACTACCGGAACAAGCAATACAACAACAAATGTAGAATCAGATTAAACGGGACAACAAGACCTTTTATTTGAGCGGTGCGCCAGTGAAATAGAAAGAGGTTTACATGTAATGTATTTTTATTTTTTTTTTGTAAAACAAAATGGGTTTGGGGCTAAAATTATACATTTTAGGCAGTCATTTTGGAATCTTGTTTTATGCAAATTGCAAGTGTTTAGGATGAGTTTCTGTTTTTAAGGTAGAGAGAAAGGTTCGTAGTTTACAAATCAACAAACAGAGCTTAGTATGTGATTAAGCATGTTTTTGATCACCTACATGAAGGTGAAGTTGATTTCAGACAAGTAACGTCCGTAACGTTTTAATGTAACATCAGCAAAAACCAAAACATGATGTATCCATAACATCAAAGTATCTTTTTGCAAAATGTCATTGGTGTTTTATAGAGTAGAGCTATATCTACCACAACATACTTAATTTCATTGAATTCTTACAAGAAATTCACAGACTTTTATCATTGCGCACTGAAAATCAAAAATCTGTCTTGAAGCATAACATCCGTAACAGTAATTTACACAGCTTATCTCATTCATTAACAATGTCATATGTGGTACATTTAGGCCAAAACTACAATCGTAGCCAAATATATAAAATTTGCATCTACTGTAAGTCTTTTGTTTTGTTGACTTCAAATTAGTTTTTAGCTCAGCATGTAAGGTCCGTAACTGCTCGTAGGCACTTTCTTGCAAACATTTAAACACTTTGCCATGATCTACCAAGTGAAAAGGAATTGTGGTTTAGCTGTGCAGTCAACAATTTATGACAATAACTGCAAACCCGATTGCAGATTTTGATAGATTCACAGTAGTTAGGGCTAGCAGTATACCACAACAATTATCTACTGTATCGCTCTACGCGTTACATTAATCTTTTGCAACCCCCAGCACTGGTATCACACGCATTTACGATACAAATGACCCTCTGGGCTTCTGTAGATTCACATAACGGTCGTCCTTAACAAATTGCAGACATTCTGGCAATGAATACTAAAAAGTGGATTCATGTAAAAATTGCCCAATTATTTTTTTTTTTTCCCGCTTAGAAGCAAACCTCAAGGTGTTTCATCTCGGCTGACGGGTCGTGATGATGCATGGCACGCCGGCACGGCGCGACGTGCACTTTTACAAGCAATGAAGCATTACGGAATCGCAGTGTATTATATCCCGACTGGAGCGGATTTGATAAGTGTGATGAATTTGACCTGATAGGTTGGAGGTTTTGCTGGAACAGTCGACAAATATGCATGCCCAGACAGTGTCTCCGGGTGATCATCTGGTAGCCTTAACATGTATCATTCGTAATCTGTGCAATCACTTTGCAGGCATGTAATTTCCGACGACAGACAGCGCTAACATTTGTTGGGCAGAAGGTTGAAGTAACGTGCACAGTTGCTGTCCCTTTCATCCAAAATTTGCATAGAACATTCCCAAATCCGCAACAATTTTACAGGTGAGCAGTGATCCACTGGCACTTTCTGAAACAAAAAATCAAACCCCATGAACAAAGTGATGGTGGCTATACCGTAAATTTACTGAAGCTTCCAAAATGTTGTGTAGGTTTCGTTCGGCAGATTTTTTGTTGAAATATAAAACATGTAACAAATAAAAGGAATTATATGTACCATCTGGGTTTAAGGAATTTGATTTTGCAATGTTCAGTGGCACTGTATATTAACTCTTTAATATTAATGCAGACATTACCATTTTTTTTTAAACATGAATTTAAAACTTAACTGTATCTGAATTCAAATTCCAATCTTGTGGCCAAATTATTTTAATCCCTGGATGACTACATTTACGTGTAGGTGTATAATGAACCAGAGACAAAACCCAAGAAGTCTGTAAACAAGTTGAGATAGGAAGGCCTTCATTTTAATTCTGCAACCGTCCAAAACAGGTTGAGCAGTCATACATGCCTGCACACTGTCGGCATAACATGAACATGTCCATGTGTGACACTGCCATAGATCCAACAGACGGGCAAATTAACAATTCCTTTGGAGGAATCTTATTAATTTTAAGAAAATGGATGCTTTAAATGGAACTATTGAGAAATACACAAACTTGTTTCAGCAGCCCCGTTTGGAAGAAACTGTCCGCCTTGATAGGCTGCAAAATTAAGTAAAAATGTCAGTGCGGTTGACGTCACAAATATGTTAAATACGGATTGGTAATTAGAATGTATTAGAGCAGATCTTCATTTATCTGAAGAACACGTGTTCCTTCACTGCTAGCTACATGGAAATTACAAAAAAGGAAAAAAGCTTTTTTGGCACAGATTCAATTTTTCAATTTACACAATTTGTTGTCTGACGTCCGAGGTGGCAAAAGTGCATTGTTCGATTCCTTTCAGAAAAAAATCCTTCTTGTATAAAATTTAATTAAAATGTGATCAAATGTAAAAAATAAAAAAAACGCATGTACCCGGACATTTTCACACACAAAAAGTACATTCTCCTTGTAACAGTGCAGAGTTCGAGGTGTGTTTCTGCATGATGCTTCAGTCTCTTCAAAATTAAACGATGTCATAAACACATCAAAGGTGAATATAAAAACGAAGGGCATCTCTTCCTATTTTATTCAGATATATCCACAAGAAATGCCAATGGTTTCATGGCAGTAATCAAGACACACATCAACATCACCCAGCGCACCCCTTCATTTAATACTCATCAATGACGAACTGGCTGCATACTCTCCTTCCATGCATGAAATATTCAGTTTGCTTATGAGCATGACAACTATACCACATGGCATAGGACAGCAGCAAAGACATCCCCAATTACAGCTATAGCCATTTTGTTTTCTTCTTTTTTTCAAAGCATCAACCCAGTTCAATGGTCAGTATTTCAGCTGACCAGGATATAAGGTTCACTATGGGATCCGTGCACAAGTGCCACTTCAACGGCCAGAATAGGAGAGTTGGGGGAGACCTAGACTGGTTCCCGGTCCATCCACTGTGGATTTTGAATGATCCAAAGCTATTGGGGCGGGGATTAGTCTGGGAGACCATCGCATGTTAAATTTGAACGCATTCGCGCTGATGAAGCCTGACGCTCACACGAAGACGCTGTGGCTAATAGCTTTGGCACATTCAAGTAGTCGTGCCAAAAACCTAGTATTTTGTATAATTTAAGGGACGAAAGGGGTACGCACATTTAATAAATCCTCAGTGTATACCGTACCGCGAAATCTCATCTTTGAAAGAATTGATTCTAAAAGAAAAAAAAATTAAAATTGAAAGGTCTGCTCCGCGCGTTAAAACGCATCGACTGCAGTCCTAATATAAATTTCGCAAATAGTGGGATATTTAAATTACACAATTCCAGGGGTTAAGATCACCCAAGGCATGATGGGAACCAACCCTCGTACCCATGGGAAACGAGGTTGGATTTCTCTAGTTGACTATTTGAACTTAAAACCAGAGCACTGGGACCAGTTCCATCGCTGGTTGCCAACAGCCAAAGGCATCTTCAAGCACAAGGAGCCACGTCTAAAGAGTTTCGTGATGATGTTCTGACCATCGTTGGACAAGAGACGTCCGCACGTTGCTCTCGGTATTAAGTTACGTCACGAATCAACCACTAGTCGACTAATGGTCCTCGCCCCACCTTGCTCCACGCTGAAAAACAGAACTGACAGCACATTTGCACGTGACAGTGTCTTAGAAAATA